CAACTCATCTTTTTATATATATACATATATCTATATATATCTATATTATATATATATCTATATCTATATATATATATCTCTATATATATATATAATCATATATATATATATGTATGTATCATATATATATATTATATATGATACATACATATATGATACATACATATATATATGTATGTATCATATATATATATGATTATATATATATATTATGATATATACATATGTATATATGATATATATATATGATACATACATATAGATAGATAGATAGATAATATATATATACATATATTATCTCTCTCTCTTCTCTCTCTCTCCTCCTCCTCCTCTTCCTTCTTCTTCTTCTTCTTCTTCTTCTCCTCCTCCTCCTCCTTCTTCTTCTCCTCCTCCTCCTCCTCCTCCTCTCCCATTTCCTCCTCCCCCTATTCCTCCTCCTCCTTTCCCTCCTCCCCCTCTTCCTCCTCCTCCTCCTCCTACTCCTCCTACTCCTCCTACTCCTCCTCCTCCTCCTCCTCCTCCTCCTCCTCCTCCTCCTCCTCCTCCTCCTCCTCCTCCTCCTCCTCCTCCTCCTCCTCCTCCTCCTCCTCCTCCTCCTCCTCCTCCTCCTCCTCCTTTTACTCCTACATCTGTGAACCATAGTTCAAACTCTAGTAATAGCATTGATATGTGTAAGTTTATGGAAAAGACTGAAGCTAGGATAAAATAAAGTTGTATGTTTTCTTGGAAATGTTTGTTGAAATTAATGGAATGAATATTTGCAGAGGAACTTGACAGTTTTGATGATCCTCCTTCGAGATTCCTTTCATCATTAAAGGATACATTAGATGAATTTGAACAGGTATGTATATAATCTGTTGATGTCATTGTGTTTTTTTTGTATTATGTCAGAAATGTTTTAGCATTTTTTAGTGAAACATTTTGAAAAAATCTGAAATGAGTTTCTTGAGGTTTTATTAACCTTGGTCTATCCCTGTTCTGCATAGACTGAAACAACAATTGATGTCATGTTTAAACAGATTAGTAGTAGTGAGCTTGCTGAAGTGAATTCTGAATGGGATGAGGAGAGCAGTGATGAACAGCTCATGGAATCAGTGGAGTCTGCAGCACAACGCATGAAAGACTTGCTCTCTAGCCTACAGGAACAAAATCACAGCCTCCTCCTGTTGTCTCCTCTCTTGCAATCATTCACTTCAACATCTGGGTCTCGTACTGGTAAGAAGACCATATTGCACTTCTTTACCCATGTTAACCAGGGTAAATTTTGCAGTAATTGCCAATATTTATTTTACATAACCTTGACCTTAGTGGTCATTAACATAAACATAAGCCCAAGTCCTTAAAGTAGAATCTCTTCTACCCTGCAGGAAGTTCCCCATTTGATACTGACAGCAAAGAGAGTGCCACAGGGCCATCTAGAAATGGCACCTTAAACCAGCGAGACCGTGACCTCTCCACTCTGACAGTGACCCCTTCCACACACTCTCAGAGTGCCACTCAGACTGGAGATGAAACAACATCTGATGAGGATGGAACATGTCAGAGTCGGTTAGCAACATGTGGGTCTGTACTTAATCCAACCTTCATCTCTTCAGGAGGAATGAACACGTAAGAGCTTTCGAATTTTATTTGGAGATTGGTTTTACTCTATTATATGTTGTTATTATTTGAATTTTTATTTATAGTAGTGATAATATTATTGTTATGTTCATCATATATGCTTACTTATTTCTGTATAAAGGGCATTATCTGTAACAATTTTCGTTAGTTTGATAAAGTACTTTTATCAGTATAATATCACAAAGGATTTAACCCATTGGATCCAGTTGCATCATGGCAATCATATCACCAAAAATCTGGGCATCAGGCTTATGTGAGTGGCTGCTCTGTGGGTAAACTGGGTGCACGCTAATTAGTATGTGCAATGACAAAACTCGATGCCTCCTATTTACAAAGTTATTTAGCTTTTTATGTATAATCGTTTTTAGCTTTTTGGCCATTTTCCATTGTCCATATTTGGCATTTGGTTTGCATCATCCAGATGGTAATAGACTTTTTCTTTGCACTGACTCCATATCATTTCTCTAGGTAGTCTACAACTCAGTGCAAGAAAAATAGTACTATGTAACACTGTTATTTGTATCATTTAATGTTTTTTTTTTCTTTTGCGTAATATTAAATTTTCTGTAATATAGCATTTGTTGCTGGTCATGGAATACGATCCTGAGCATGGAAATGGTGTCCTCCATGGAGCCGGTACTCTTCCAGTCACAGCTTACAGACATTACATTCTATACTCATACATTGATTGGAATAATGAAAAATTGCAGCATGAGTAAAATAAACCTCCCAAGAGATTTGTGCTCACATGGCAAGTCTTTTCCATCACCCCGGCCTTCAGCTGAAACATTTATGACAGTAGGCTTGCATCACCCAGCTTACAGCCTGATTTTCCTGTGACATCATGTTCACATGCCTCTTGAGCCAGAATTTTTCATGACATGATGGTCATATCACCTGGATCCGAAGGGTAAATTAGGATTAAACACAGGAAAGTCGTGTGTGGTAATAAGAACTTGTATCCCCCTTTTGCAGTGTTATTTTGTCTTTTTCTTCTTAAGCATTATTAGCTTTTTTTTCTATAGCCCAAGGTCTATATTTGTCTATTCTTATCCTATATTAAGCTCACTATTACTTGAGGAGATTTCATATAATTTTTCTAAGTAGTCTACAATTGCAGAAAGTGACAATATTATTTATGAAATTTTAAGATATTTTTGTGTTATTTGATTTTCTGTAACTGCCTGTGCTTCCGGTCACTACAGGATACTGATCATGGAAATATTTTTCTCCCTGCCTTCCAGTCACAGCTCACAGATGGTCATTTTACTCTTGTTTACTGATGGAAATAATGCAAGAGCCCACACTTATGGGCTTCATTCCTGTCAGCCGTGCCCTCATCAGAAATTCTCATGATGGCAAGATCCCATCACCCTGGTATCATATTTAGGGATTTCTCTATGTAACCTGTAGAAAGCCCATATTATATTAATCACAAGACTGTTTCAAAACAGGAGTCAGACAACAGATGACAGTGGAGGGGACAACAACATTTTGGTGGATGCAGCCACTCCAACAGCTGATCGGCCCCAAAGTCCATTTGACTGGAGACAAGTCCAGGTAGGAAATAGCAAATGAGACTGAATAATGAAGAGATTTGCATTACCTTTTCTCTCAATAGGTGACCAGGTTATTTATCCTGCATTGTCTAATGGAATAATGGAGTTATCAGCATATATGGAGTTCAAAGAACATAAGACCTTTGATTTAAGATGTAGAGATGTAATCATGTGCATGCAATGAACATTGCATGCAGCATGTTTATGGGATCTGAACTTCTGCCATAACTGAGTAAAGAGGGCTGTATTCAAGGGAGGCTCTCCAATAGCAAAGCTGTCTTGTATTACTGCTTCTCGGGTGAAGTATATCTTGAGAGTGATGCCCAAATCATGGATTGTGGACCTTAATCAGGCTGGGAATTTGCCAGCCTGTGTGCAACTCATGCTCCACATGCTTCCCAAGCATGGGAAGCATGTGGAGCATGACTTGCATGCAGGTTAGATAACCATGGCATCATGACTTTCTGTGGTGATTTTTACTTCTGGTGAAAAGATTTATAAACAGATATATGCTATGTTATCTTGTTGATGTGTGTATATCTGACAAAGGTATAATCAATACCAGTCAACTACACCTTGCACTGTGAAGATATTAATTTTCATTCATGCTACATTTGTTGCAAAAATCACTTTGTTGTTTATCTGTGTGTCTGTGTATGTGTGCATTGTTAATAATCTTTATTATAGACAGTATTGGAGATAGTGTAGAATAGATATCATAAGTTGTGGGTCTTCTATAATTCTGATTTTTTGGTAAACTGTAATCTTGTATTGGGCAGTAAGATTACACATAAACCTCATATATGTATAACTTTAGGATTTGACAAAAATGGCTGAGCAGTGGTGAGTCTCTATATTGAAAAATAAACGAATACGACTTGTTTGATCATATGGGTATGTCGACCAGGTGGTCCCCATGGCTGTACGGGGTCTCCTGAGAGTTTTCATGTTTGTGCCACCCTCTAAGACTTTACACACAGCAAAGATTTTACGTTTTTATGCTCATTGGAGCCCAATCAACTGAGAAAACACATTTTATTAGTAATAAGTGTAGTCGTCTGAAGAACATAAACACTAAAAATCCTGCATAAAATGTCAAATACCTCTATAAACTCATTTGATATAGACCTATAAATAATCAGTTTGTGTCATTACATCAAGAAAAGACGCATCCATGTGAAACAAACAGTGGTAAGTTTATATTTCGAAATGAAATGCTTACTAAACTGTTATTTCCAATAAATAAAGTAACAATTCAAGGTCACTCGATAACAATAAAGTGTTTGTTACTCTAACTGCTTCTGGTTATCTCTGCACTTTTGTATATGTGCACACTTGTACACACATTTACAGATATGTATACTTATTTACACATGTCGATCTCATTGCATTTTATCGATGTATATGTTGATTTTTTTTTCATTGTAAAGTATGTAACAATATGGGCCAATAGCAATATGTGGTAAATAAAGTTTTTTGATTGGGGCATCGCTCCCCTTCGGGGAATTTCCACAATTTAAAAAAAATATTGAATACTACAATAAACAAAATATTCAAATTTGAAGAAAATTGATAAAATAGTTTTGTTGTTATTAGTATTTAAAAATTTTTCCCTGCCTTAACCCTTTACCCCCCCCCCCCCCCACACACACCATTTATACCTTACGCCCACCACTTTTCCGGACGGTTCCCTTAATTATGGAAATTAGATAATTGAACTGTTTGTATATATGACGGTGAGCTGTATCTGATGAGAGGGTAGATACATAAGAGTTCTGTATAGGCATCAGTAACTTTATCAATGACAAGGGTTAAGCAGAATAAGAATTAGTATTTTTATTTCATCAGCATTACTATGTTGATTTTTTATAGGTCTATACATGGAATATATACTTATACAGTTGTACATGTTCATACTCACATACTGATATTCTGATCCTCATAGGTGAGTGACGACGAAGGCCGAGAAAATGACATGTTACAGCCAGACACACGCACAGTCAGCACATCACCAGACCCGACTTTAGAGGATGAAGAGGAACGCATCTGTCCAATGTGCAATGCAGTGTTTCCTCGGGTGATACCACAAGAATCATTTGAATCTCATGTTGTAAGTCATTTTGAAGTTGAAAATGGATTTGAAGTAATTGCCTAGTGAAAAGAATGTTGTGCTATCAAAGGATATGGCTGTGTAGCTCATGATTTTGACTGCTAAAAATTAAGGCTTCAAGTTTGTCTGCCTTATTCTAATTGTATTTTGATAAAAATCCTTGAGATTTAAATTAAGAAGTGGGTTAATGTCACAAAATCTTCATTTGAGAAACAATCTAAAGTAAAAGGTTGATTTCTTTATTGGCTAATATAATATATCCTCTGTGATAACACCTTGCAAGGTAGCCTTTATAAGTTACTTAAGGAAATATTTGATATGAGGATAAGGGTAAGAGTGATATTTGTATACAAAAGTATGTATGATTAGGTCTTGATCATGTAATTTCCAGTTTGTTGCAATTTTCAGTACATTATGTTTAAGGATATAGATGTACCACAGTTTTATTAGCAGTTAAGTCCATTACCATTTTTATTTATTTATTTTTATTTTTTTTTATCTTTTTTTAATTTTTCAAAAAAGTGGACTTCTTTTTGGAAGTTAGAGAGGAAAAAGAAGTAAAAAAAAAAAAAACTCTTGACTGATCAGTCCCAAATGTTAGTGGTACTATGTTAACTGGCTTGGCCAAGTTTTGCTAAGTGCATGGTTGGGTGACTGGAGTCAGGATGTGTGTACTCTACTCCAATAGGCACCTCTACCCCACACTCCTCAGTTATCCTGGATAGGCCTAACCTCTTTGGTGCACTTTTAAATTGTCATGCCTGTAGAATATGAAAATGTCCTCAGATTTGAACTGGAATCTGGGAGATTGATGCTTTAAACCACCTTCAAGTCTATGGTGAGGTTAGGACCTCAGTTGGAATTACACATAGGGTGCTAAGCATAGACGCATGAGGGTAATCTACCCATTCTTGTTGCAAGTGACAGAAAAGATTGCAAATGAAAGGATTAGAGCTAACTCTTATTTTCATTATCTTTTTATGGACATCCTATTCAAACCATTGCTGATGGAGATGTCATATATGTACATGCCAAGTCCACTGTGATTTTAGTTTATTAATTGTGTTTACATATAGATGGCTCCATTAGTTCTAGCTAACTCACTCTTTTTCTTGATTTTTGGAAAGTTTAGTGTATTATTTATGTTAATAACATTATGACCATCAAAATTTCAGTGCTAAAGATAGCTATTGATATTAATATATCACATAGGCGTACTGATTGACTCCTTGGTGGCTGAGCACTTGTGGAGCCAGCTGTATGTGAAGACAATTCACAAAATAAAACTACAGTGGGCATTACATGGTCCCAGTGGCAATGGGTTGAAGACAAAAATTTAAAATTGAATTCCCTCCAGATTTACATTACTTAACATTGGGTGTATGACTCACTTGAATGAAAGGAAAAATGGCCAATATGAAACTTTGAGAAGGAATATTAGTGGTATAGTTTTATAAATGCTTTCATTGTACATTTGATAATTTCCTTTTCATTGTTAATATTCGTGGAGTATATGTTAATGTTTAATGATGATGAATATGCTTATCAGTGTTTATCAATGGAAATAAGATTTTATATAAACCCCAAAGTAAATGTGAGTTGCATAAAAAATTGAAACATAATATGTTCAGTTTGAACCAAAAGCAGCATGCTGGAATTTGAAAGCAGAGAAAAAATATCTGTGATGGTAGATGCTTTTAATATTAATATTATGAATTAGACTTAGTTCATTATCTGTAAATTTTTATGTTTGAGAGAATCTAATATTAACTTGTGTTTGGAATATAAGTGTTTACAAACACGTGGTATTAAGAAAGGCATCTTTAAATATTTCAAGTGCCTTATATTTTTATGATTTTTTGAGAACCAAAGAACATGGTTGTATATTAATGTGATAGAATTAATGAATACTTAAATAATGGGAGTTAACAGTAACAACTATGCAATAATGACAATTCTTTGTTAGTTATTATAGAATTACACATGCATTTTGTATTTATGTATAAATCATACACATTCACAAAGACACTTTCCTCCTTTTTCTTCTCGATGCAAACTTTGATTCAGAATCTCTAAAAAGGAAAATAAGGAAAACTTTTATTACCAAAGGATTTTTTTATAACTATTAATGTGAGCAGTTTGATTAAGTTTCCTAGGATTACTATAGTAACGATTTCATAAAATTATCAACTTTGTCTTTTCTGAACAGTG